TGCAGGGTACTCTTTGTTAGGCAAAGGAAATGTTAAGGATTAATTCAGATTTCACAGAAGACCAAAACACCCTTTTATGTCATCCTCCTGTGGCTGACCAACCAGGCTGTTGCCTTGGGTACCTTCACCAAGTTCTTGCTCTTGTATGGGCTGAACTGCAGTGCCCAGACTGAGCTCTGCCCAGCACTTCACTCGAAGACTTGCTCATCTTTAGACATACAGTTGTGCTCACTGACTTTTGCCCTTCCTGATTCAGCTGCACAGCGCTGTGTGAGTTTGAGCAAGGCACATAAGCTGTTTTTGCTGCAGTCTCCTTGACTGCAGGAAGATAATGGCTCTTAAGAATTTTTATTATTATTATTAAGAGGAAATTAAACTTACACACCTTTACACAGGCCAGGCTTTGAACTGCATATAATCTGAAAGTGTGCTTTTCATGCCATGTGTTTTTATTGCAAAGCTTGTGCTCTGAAATGCCTGTTAAGGGTTGGCCCTTGGAAGAGCCTTTCTTTAGGTTATTGTCTGCAAAATCAATCTGTGCAGAAGAAGCACAGGGATTAGACAGACTTATTTCTATTTATTGCCACATGACGAATCCATTCAGGCTCAGAGAACACACCAGAGCTTATATTTTCCATTCTAGCTCCTGTTCTCATATTTTGAGGCAGAAAGTCCCTAACTTATTGTTCAGCCCAAGCTCCATGAGTGGCTTTGTGTAAAGGATTTAGGGCTGGACCATTCCTGTTTGTCTGTGTAGCACTTTGCATGTGTTCAGTATTTCAGCAGAAGAGTTGAGTCACGTTCACACTCAAATTCCAGCCTCCAAAAGTTTCTGCAGCGTGTGCTGCGATACCCCTTTAGATTGTTGTTCTTGTCCAAATATTATTCTGGGATTCATCTTTGGAAAACGGGCCAAAATAATACAGAAGGATAACAGCCTTGAAAAACATCTGCCTAGTGGAGGTAGAAGAGACCACAGCAGCAGCACTGTGATTTACAGCAGCCTACTGCCTACTGGGAAATGAGCATTAATGACAAATTCACAAGGGAGAAGCTAGACCCTAACTGCTTGGGTTTGGCTACCAAGGGCAACAACCTGCAAGTTCTGCCTCTGTGTTGTTGCTTTGGCAACTCTCACAACACCAGTGAAATGTTTTTATACTGCATGTCGATACAAATCCAGCTTTTCTGGGAGCAGCGAGATGAAATTCATCTCAGAAGTGCTTGCATGTTTTACAATTCATTGTTTTCACTTAATGTGTTGCAGTATATCGTGGTAAATGTGCTATTACACTTTTAGCTTGCTAAGCTTCTTGTTAAGGCATCACTGTAATTTTCCTTGTTAGATTCAGGTTTTAGTGTTTGTTCAGTTGTCTTCCTAAAGGTATACGATATGTTTTCTTAAAACATGTCTGAGCAAACATTTTGTGAACTGGAATCTGGGCGAGGTAGACAGCAGCATAACCAAAACTAAGGTCTGTGAAGTTATTTTATTATGAATTTTGCAGTTTGGTGGGTAACTGGTGTTTGGGGAGCTTGATGTGACACTCAAAATATACTACTGTTTATTCAGATGGCTGAGAAGTGGGTAGATGGGAATGGAATCATAGAATCACAGGATGCCTTGGGTTGGAATAGACCTTAAAGACCATCCAGCTCCTGGGCTGGTTGCCTCCCACCAGATCAGGGTGCCCAGGGCCCCATCCAACCTGGCCTTAAGCCCCTCTAGGTGTGGAGTATCCACAGCATCTTTGAGCAAACACAGAGGATGCTTCACCATGGCTGTCCACATCCTTGCATTGGTAGTCTGGAAATCCTAAGGCTCCTCATTTAGTATTTCAAGGTTGAGGCTTTACAGCTCAGATCCCTGTGAAACTTGTCCTTCTGGGCACACCATTATGTGCTGCATGCTTCCTGCATTCGGTGGGGCAGTGTGTGCAGGAGGCTTTGCAGCTCACAGGGCATTTTTTGTTGTGGCTCTTAACAGTGTGCCCCAGGCTTCACTAAATAGACAACCTCATTAAAAGAGGAATAGTGATAGTAAAGCAGTGACTTTCTCATGCCATCTAACTCACATATTTGACATGATTGCTGGGCCCTCCAAGTACTTAATTGATTGACTTAATTGATTTAGTGGCACTGGAGGCTATGGCATGGAAATAAAGGGACAAGATGAGGATAAGGGGTGAAAAAATTTATGATAGGTGCCAAGCAGCCTGAGGGAAATTAGAAATGCTACAGATCTCAGAAGTAGCTAAATCAATTCCATGTGATGTGCAGGGAGGGGTGGGGGGCAGAGGAGAAGAAGCAGGAAATGGAGTGGCAAAGGGGAGAGAAAATACTCTTGGGCTGCAGGGACCGGGCCAAGCACAAGGGGCTGATGCATTAAGGATGGTGCCTGTGGTGGCTGCCCATATTGCTGCCTAGGAAGTATTTCAGACTTCCTTCTTTAACAACAAGAAATGGCATCTGAACCTATGAATAAAATGTAATACAGACATCAGGTTCAGCCTGAAAAGAACAACTGTTGCAGCACATGACTTAGTTAGCTAATGCAAGGCTTTGTCAGTGCTTGCATTTGAAGATCATAAATGTTTTCAATAGTGACTAAAGTCACACGAGACCTAAAATAATTTGGAAGCTGTGTACAGTGAATTTATTTAACAACTGAAGCTTAATTGTTAAATTACCTTCTAATCTGCGCAATATTTAATTGACTGTATTGAACCGCGGTACAAATTAAGTCTTCTCTGTAATGTGTTCTGCCATACTGCAGCCCTCCACCAATCCCACACCTCACTGAAGGCATGCTAAATGGCTCATAGCAGCACTCAGCAAAGGTGCCATAAAAACATCAAGTAGTTTGTGATGGACTCCACCAGCGTGTGCATATGGGGGTGTCATAAACATCCCTGAGCTATGAAATGCTCCTTTATAGGCTCTTGACCCACTAGAGACGGGATTAAGTGGTAAAACCCTAAAGACAAAAGAGCCAGAGGAGCTGGGGTGGGAGGGACTTTACAAAAATGATGCAGTCCCGACCTGGTGTTTCGCAGTGGTGAGTTTGTACCAACTGCAACAGGTGTCATTCCTGCTTAATGACGAGTAAAGAGTCAGACACTCGTAAAATAATATTTGGAAGAAAGTGCTGGAAAATGTAAAAAGGACACAGTCCATGAATCAAGCTCTGAAAGCACAGATTCAAAGGAGTGCTTGTACCTTCACTGTGGTACAGGTGTGTATGCAACGTTACGTTTTATGTGCATGTTCCAAGCCAGTATCCCTCAAACAAATAGAAAACTCTGCCTGCTCCGTACAGTGAAGCAGGATGATGTTGCAGTCACCTTTACTTAATTTGTGCAGTATATGAGGTATCGTAACCATTACAACCGTAACCATTTTCCAATAGTTAATGAGGGTTCCCGAATAAATCGGAGCGTCTCCATCTGCTGCCTTACATTGTGGGAGATCTTTTGCCATGGTAGAATGGTCTTCAAATTTAATTCCATGAGGAAGGAATCTGATCACAGTTTAATTTCAGTGCAAAACGCTGTCTCGCAATCAATAAAGCAATGTCAAAGAACATAGATTTAATAGGAGCCAGAGATAACGTTCCCTTGTCATATGCAGAGTAGAGAGATGGGAACATTTCATTTCATTGTAAGAGATAGAATGCAAGCATGCTTTCAGAGGAACCTAGTAAATCAATACCAGCGTGTTATCTAAGGAAGATCATTAATTTTGAACACTTAACATGTTGTGAAAGTCTGGAGCACACCTTTAACTTAGCCCTGTTCAGCCCAAAGTCAGCGTCAAGCTTCCATTTCCCTAAGAACAAGCAGTCTCGATCTCAGGAAGTTAGGAGCCATTTAATGAGGAATGAAAGTGACATACGTCCAGTCTGCTGTTTTATATATAGTCAGCTTCCTCTTAGGTTCTCCCTTCCCATTGAAACTCCCGTGCCTGTTCTGCGGGAGCCACATTACCTGTCACTGCCTCACAGGCACATGGCCCTTTCTCCTCCATACGCACACATCCTCTCTGGTTTTGAATTTTAAAGTGTTCTTTAAACTCTAAAAATAACCGGTTGTTTAGAGATTGCCTGGATACCACGCTGCTTCTCAAAATGTGCTTTTCTCCAAACCAGCAGGAATCTGGACCTCAAAAGAATTCTCTGCGGCTTTGCCTGCTCTCAGAAATATCCCTGGATTAGTGGGGAGCGGGGCGATGCATCAGAGGGTGGGAATTCAAACTAATAGGTTGGGTTAGAGAAACTTTTCAAGGACGTTATTCTGAGTAGAACTGCTTCAACGTTACTTTGGTAATGAAATGGTAATTATATCAGAGTGAGAAGGATGCTAGTACCTGGTGTTGCTGTCTGGCCAAAACATGCTTCATAGGATTATAGAATTGTGAAGGCTGGAAAAGTGCACTAGGATCATCTGGTCCAGCCATCGATCCATCACCACCAAGCTTACTGTGCTTTTTGTGGAGTTCTGTTACTGCTTTAAGTGAAACCTCACCTGCTGCTTAGTGCTGTAGAGATAAAGCGACCCTGCTGTCGATTTGCAGAGATTGGATCTCTCGCCCCTCATCCTGCAGTCTGTCCTCAGAGTTGCTCTGCGGGAAGCTACAAGTAGCTGCTGTGCCCTCTTCCTATTCCTACCAACAGGGATTCTGTACCTACAATGCTGTTTACCTTCTAATTAGGTAGTGATATGTGTTAATTGAATTATATCTCACCTGAAGATACAAAGAAAAATATTCAGTTGACGCTTTTTTTGTCAAATTATTAAAAATAAGTCACGTTTGGCCAGATTTTGAAAAGGGAATAGGCAGAAATAGTTCAGATGTTAATTGATTTTGACACCAGGGAATGCTTGTTTTTAATTCCATAGGTGCATTGAGATCCAGGTGAAGCACCAATGGAAGGAAACAATACAGATTTAATGGAACATTTTGATGGGTATTTCTTGCTGTGTTTTCTTCTTTTTTAATAGCTACTACAGCACCACCACGCAGTTCATGAGATATCGTACATCGCAAAGGATATCACAGACCACCGAGCGTTTGGATATGTGTGTGGAAAGGAGGGAAATCATCGATTTGTGGCAATAAAAACAGCCCAGGCAGTAAGTATCAGATAATTGCCATTTCCTTCATCGTCCTTCATAGAATCATATCACAGAATCATAGAACGGCTTGGGTTGAAAAGGACCACAATGGTCATCTAGTGTCAACCCCCTGCTATGTGCAGAGTCGCCAACCAGCAGACCAGGCTGCCCAGAGCCACATCCAGCCTGGCTTTGAATGCCTCCAGGGATGGGGCATCCACAGCCTCCTTGGGCAACCTGTGCCAGTGCCTCACCACCCTCTGGGTGAAAAACTTCCTCCTAACATCTAACCTAAACCTCCCCTGTCTCAGTTTAAAACCATTCCCCCTTGTCCTATCACTATCCGCCCTCGTAAACAGCCATTCCCCCTCCTGTTTATACGCTCCCTTCAAGTATTGAAAGACCACAATGAGGTCTCCTCAGAGCCTTCTCTTCTCCAAGCTAAACAAGCCCAGTTCCCTCAACTTTTCTTCATAGGAGCAGTGCTCCAGCCCTCTGGTCCTCCTCTGGACTTGTTCCAACAGCTCAGTTGAAAGGCCATGTTCATAACCAGCTCTTTAAGAGACCCATCTTGTATTCTGTCTGTGTTTGGAGTTTGTTTAGATGTTCTTAAATGGCCAATTAATGAAACCATTTGGGGAAAAAAGAAGAAAAGAGATATATTTCACTATTGACAATTATTCTTGATGGGTTTTTTTTGTATTTTTTTTTTCCAGTGATTAATTACAATTTTCCTTTCCTCTATAGAAACCTTTCACACTGCTTCTATTTCCGTAGGCTGAACCTGTGATTCTGGACTTGCGAGATCTGTTTCAGCTCATCTATGAACTGAAACAAAGGGAAGAAATGGAAAAAAAGGCGCAAAAAGACAAGCAGTGTGAACAGGCGGTATACCAGGTACATGCATAAGCTTAGACTACCACCAAACAAAAAATGCAGTTTGAAGTATCCCCAAGAATTGCTCCAGAGAGGCATGGGGTACCCTTAGCATCTGTTGACAGTGGTAGGTTTGAATGAAAAATGTGAATCTAAGAGATATGGTGAGTTCAGAGGTAGGATTAAACAGTGATGAAACAGGTCACCTGGGGTAAGATGAACATGCTTGGCAACTTGAAGTGTCCTGCTCATTTCCAAGATAGAGTTTCTTCTAGTTGAAAACTTTAATGAGGGCCACTGTGTTGCAAGTAGTGCTTTTAATATATTGTGCTTTAGAGATGATTCATTGAACTTCTGAATGTGTGCATTTGAGTCAAATCAAATAAGGTGCAGGTTGCTAAACTCTCATGAAATAAGAATGGTGTTACTTTGTAGAATAACTTGACTTTATCTGCATACTGAAGAAAGAGAGCTATATACTTACCTGCACATTTTGCTTAGTTCTTTGCTGTCCTTTGGTTTCTAAATACAGTTCTTTTATCTCTGCCGTTTATGTTCTTTGCTTTTACTGCCTGTCCTCTTACTTTGCTGTAGACAATTTTGGAAGAAGATGTAGAAGACCCTGTATACCAGGTAATTTCTGAAGCTGCACGACCTGGGAGTTTCAGAAATGACTAGATATATGTTATCTTCAAACACAGCCAAAGCCTTTCACAAAATGTTTTGAAATGTATTGAGATAGATCTCATGAGAGACTACGTTTTACAGAAAGTAGCACGTTTAGGGATTAAGATGTAGTAGCACAGCATTTCTGCATAGAAATACTAGATTGAATCTTTCCTAAAATGTACTTTTTGAGTCCAGATTTGAAGTTTCCAACTGAGATTTGTCATTATTTCCTTATTTTTTTTAACACGCAATCTAACAGAAAAGAGAGTTCCTTCGAAAATAAGGAAGATGACACTTTGTTTTTATAGCAATAAATTGGCATCTTGTTGTTGGCTTCTATGCAGCCAGAATTTCATTCAGAGAGTGAATATTTGTTAAAAAGAAACACAGAGGAATTAATGCTATAATGCTCTCCCTTGTTGGCATTTTGGGTTATGATTTAGTAATAAATCTGTAGTTCAAGTCTTGTTTCATCCAAGCAAAATGCCTAGGAGTGAAGATAATTATCAGAAATATGTCAATATATTCATGTCCAATATCCTGCTGAGTGTGAAGAAGAAAAAAGATGTAATTTCATTCTCGTGTTTTTGTGCTGAGATTTGTGTTTTGTGGAGATTTTGTGTTCTTCCACTTAAAAATACCAGTTGGAGGCACACTGAAAGAAACCAATTCAAGCATTAGTGACTACTGAGCACTGTCTAAGGTGTTTCAAGGAAGATGAGAGAGATTAGGATGCCCTAAATTACCGCTCAGCTTTTATAATGTCAGGAGTTTTACTTTATGTGTTCCTCACAATAAAACAAGAACCTGAAGATGAAAAGTGTTGTGACAGCCTTTCACCATGTGGTATGTTGCACGAGCTCCAGCCTATTCTCCCAGTTTGGATTTAGCTTTTTTATTCATAGATAATAAATACGTATGGAAATAATTGCCATTATGTAAAAGAGGCAAAATTCACGTTGACTTCAGAAAATTAATATTGGACCACAGGCGGTATCCCTAGTGAGAAAGAATTAGGAAGCTGCTCTAATGATCATTAGAGGAGATTTAGGTCTATTCTCTGCTGGTTTATGAAATATGAAACAACCTTACTCTGTGCTTCCCAACAAACCAGTTGTCTGGTTCCATTCAGCCTTTACTTTGAACTTGTTTCTTTAATGCCTGCCTGTGTTTTTATGTGGAATTCCAAATTGCCTTTTTCCCTCTGTTTCATCTTTGACTTTTCCTCTCTGGCTGCTGGTGTAATAGTACATTGTGTTTGAGGCTGGACATGAGCCAATCCGTGAGCCTGAAACAGAAGAAAACATTTATCAGGTATAAAATCACTGCTTCTGTGTTTTCATTGCAACAACTGCGAGCATGTAGTACAGCACATTTCATATATAATTCACTTTTATTAGTTTTCATTCGTCGCAAAAAATGTCTGACATTTCATTCTTATGACCTTACATGAATAATCTGCCAGTCTCCGTGTATTTATTTGTTTGTCTGCTCAGCTTCTGCAGGTTTTATTAACTTGATCTGTAAGTTTTGCCAAATTATGAAGGGTCTTAAACCTTCAGCACACCATTTAAAGTGATTATTGGTAGGTTCTCTTTTCTCCTTTTAATTCTTAGAAACTTTTTACAGCTGGTCTAAGAAACTGATAGTGAAAGTGGGGACCACCTAAGCAATTCTCAGGCATTTTATTGGTACTTTTCTTCATTTTTGGCTAAGCAAGAATAACAACTGAGCAAAACATAAGAGTTATCAATGGATATCCCCCATACTAGGGAAAATATTTTCATTGTGTATATATTATGTTAGAGCTGAAGCTCGTGTTCTTCACAAAAGAATTGCATTGAAAGCAATATAAAATAATCTTTAGTCGTTCAATTTCTCTGCAAGGGATCAGTGCAGGGTTTATTAAAATATAAGGTAATTCATTCTGTATCACATACTAGGAACAAATCTGGAGATAGACAGAAATCTCTCTATGCTGTAAGAAAACCGTGATTTGAGGAAATCTTTTGGTGTGGAGGGGAAGGAGATCCAAGAAGTGATTAAACATTTCATCTGGCTGTTTCTCCTATTAGCAGTGGTTGATAGCTGCTGATCTGCTAATAGGAGAAGCTTTTTTGAGGTAGACAGGAGCAGGGAAAGAACAAAAATGAGGAAAAGTGTTTTTTAAGTAATGAGAAGAGGTAGGAAGGTAACAGAATAAAATGAGCAGGTAGAGTAGCTGTAAAACAGAATAGAAAGAAGCTAAATTGGGAAAGGGAAATGCAAATGAAAAATTAGAAAACAACAATCTTGTAGACACCATTACAGGGTCATTAAGGTGAAGTTTGCATAACTTGTTTCTGTAGATTTCTTGGCATCCCTGCCATGCAAAATAATGTATGCATTACATCCATAGAGCAAAGCATTCAGAGCTCTCAAGGTGAGAGCATGCCTAAGGTTGAATATTTTCTACCACATAATAGAAAAGCTGACTATTTTCAGAAAAACAGTCTTTTATAAAATGACTATTTCAGTTTTGTGCTAGAAAGGAAGGTCCAATGATAACAACATTCAGACATAACAACATTTTGATAGTTCTTCATCGGAGCACAAACAAAGCTTGTAGGGAGGTTGTGAAGAAGTATCAGTGAAAGCAAGCACAAATGAGGTTGTCAGTCCAAGGGTTTGCAGATCTGAAGCTGATGGTGGATATGGACGAAGTAGGATGTATATCTTGAGGTGTGGCTAGAGAACAGGAACTCACCTAGAGAACAGAAGCACTCATTGGATGTTTACATAAAATGGAAATATGAGATGGTGAGTTACTCATCTCAAGGTTACTGGCCTGTAAGTCACCAGAGAGTTCTCAAGGTTTCATTTGACAGTCTTGGGATGTGAAGTGTTTTCTCCCACAGAAAATGCGCAGAAGTGCACTGAAAATACCTGTGATAAATAATACACCATAATCTAGGTGCATGCAGTCTAGCATTGTCCTGCTCTTTATTTACTGCAGTCAATACCTTGAAAAGAGCAAATGCTGAGATTAGATACCAGCAGGTCTTATTCTGTGATCTGTCACAACGGGCAGATGCTGAAGTATAGCTGCCAGAGACTTGCCCAGAGCCACTGGCTCCCAAGTTCCCACATGCTTCATGGCTTGCTATAAATCTGGGATTCTACATCTTACACTGAGATCACCAGAAAAATTGTTTCTCTTAGAAGATCTTGATGAATGTAGAACCATCCAGGTTTTTATTAAAAGTGAAATGGGAAAAGGTCCTCTTTGTTGTTTTGTGTTTTGGTTGGTACCAATCCTCAGTTGCCTCATGTCTCCTTACCTCAGCCTGGCAAAATCTGTCATCTGGTCCTGCTCTGTTTTTCCACCAAGAGCTGGTACTCAAAAAGTTCTATTCTCCCATGGTAGAAGAGACTCCAACCCAGTGAGTAGCTGAAGATGGAAGATAAATACTGAATGTGATAATCTCTAATTTTGTAAGAGGTCACAACTTCCTTTCTTCTCTGTCTATAGCCTTTCTTTGATACATTATCCCAAAAGCTACATCTGTTTGCTCTTTTAATCCTGTCTGTCTACATAATGTAGTAGTTAGAATCATTTAAGTTGGAAAATATCTTCAAGGTCATCAAGGCAACCATCAAGAATTAATCACTGAGCTTGAATTGATCACTGAGCATCCACCTATCCTTTCTCTAGCGTCAGATTTCTTAATGGCATTTCTCTGCCTGTTTTATAATAGTGAGATGGGGATGGGATTTTGCTATGTATTTTGGTGATGTTTATGTTGAGCAGTGCTCTGTATGGAGGGGCAAGGTCTGTGCTGCAAAGAGTTGACGATCTAAGGCCAGGGTTTTGAGTTGTGGTGTTTGTGTTCCTGTAAGATGCAAGTACATCAAACTGGTTTGCAAACTGTCCTAGAGGCAGAGCTGTCAGCAGCACTGGTGCTTCTAGCACTATGCTGATATGGCCAAGCAAAGAAAAAAGTAGGAACTGCTGAGAGGAGGAAGAAGAGAATGACTGCAGGGGAAGCTTTCCAGGGAGAAAATAAAAATTGCATACTGGTTATAGTTTATGAATAGTTAATCTCACAGCACTTGTCCTCTCTTCAGGGAAGACTAAGCATTCCAGTAACTTATGAGATAGAGTATTCATGGTTTTGCACAGCTGCCTATCAGTCTGTGAAGAGAGACCCTTTTTCTATTAGACTGAATTGTTCCATTCTCACCAGTCTCGCATACCTCACATGATACATGGCTTTAGTGGAAAAGCCCAGTACTTTCAGAAAACGGAGAGAAACAAGTCATTCCTGGGGCAGGAACAGAAAAGAAATCTTAAAAATATGCCTGTAGTAATAAATTGCATTCTGTTTCTGTGAGGGTTCTGTATTTATGCCACTTGATTGCTCTTGAAAAGCTTCTTCCGTGTGCATTGTGTTCAAGTTTCAAGACTTAAATGTGAGCATGCAGGTGCTAGAACAGTAGAGAGACCTTTGGATATAGAAACTAAGAAATAATTATGCAGCTCTGTGAATAAACAGTTCCTTCAGCTTTCCCTAAAATAGCCCCATGCTCATATCAAAACTCCAAGGTATTTATCGTCTTAAAAAACAAAAGGAAAGTCAGTCTGTCAAATCTGTAGGATTATTTCCGCTGTTAACCTATGAGGTTTCATAAATGTTTGAAACGTAACCTTAGGTTGAGTGCCTTTGTTCAGTGGAAAAGCAGCACCGATTTACTTAGAGCATGTGTGTCTATTTAGAGCCTCTGTGTTTTTTTTACTGTTCTTTTAGCTCGTGTCATTTACAATAGGCATTTAGTGCTTTTAGGAAGGAGAAGAAATACAGTTGCAAATTATAAATATGTAAAACAGCAGTCCTTAGGCATGCTAAACCCTGTATTACAGAGCAAATGAATTCACACGAGTAGGATGTAAATGCCCACGGTGTAAATTATGACTGTTGACTCACTTAGTTTATTTAATTGTATCATCATCGTCCCTATCCACAAGAGGCTGTTGACTCCAGCTCCCTGACTGCGAGTGGCTGTGCAGCCTCAAAGCCTGACAGGCCATAATTCTTTACAGAATTGCAGATTTGTGACCAACTATCACTTAGAGCAGCCCACGGGATCCAATCACTGCAGGGATACATGTTGTGGCTTCACTTGACTTAGGTTATTAAAAGAATTGGAAGGAAGATATCGAATGCCACACGCCAAACCTCTCTCTCTCTGATTGCACTGCTGCTCTGGATCTCTTTTACAGAGGAAGATGACATTCTGACCTGATCATAACTCCCATGTCCATCTTCTAACCCCCAAGTAAAATGATGAAGCAACCACTTTTGTAGGAAAGAGATCCAAATGCACCTGAATTTCATGCAGCTGGACTAAACTGAGAATGAAAATCTCATCTCTGAGCACTACTGAGTTTTAGGTTTTTAAAAATTCAGATAGATGTTCGATTTCTTCAGTGCCATCTTCATCAACATCGCTGCTTGAATGTCAAGGATACCATCCTTAAACAACTGCCTTGTATTTAAATATCAGTTGCAGACTTCGACTTTTCATCAAACCTGCTGCAAGAGTGACCATAGTGTCTGTTTGCTGTTGCAGGTTCCTACCAGCCAAAAGAAGGAAGGTGTTTATGATGTGCCAAAAAGTCAACCTGTAAGTGTAAGTATCTTCATTATTTATATGCAGGGAAGAAGGTACGTTTCTTAGTTTCTGTGACCTTTATTATTGCTTGTAGTGTTTGCCACATCCCTTAGGATGTGAATTTCATCAGTGATCTACTGTTGTTGGGTTGTTTCAAAGTAACCAGGGTGGTAATGTCACATATCCATCTCGTTCATTACTTGAATCTCCTCCTTTTTGTCTTTTCTGGTTGATTCCTATGCAAGTCACCGTTTATAAAAGTGATGTCTAGTTAAGAGTTGACAGTGAGCCTTCTGCATGTTAATGTGTGGATTTTTGCTGCTTGGATCAGAAGAGTTATTTCATTACCCAAAGCTATATAAGCCTTGTCACCCTTTCTCACTGCTACAGTCACATAGCACATGCCAACTGGATGTGGCTGTGTTTTCTCCCCGTGCACTCCCTGGGGTTTCCTCCCAAACAGTTGTGTTATTTCTGTAGTGCCTGAAGTACCTAACAGGCTGAGTATCATTAGAGATAGTAGACTGAATTCTTCCTGCTTTGTGCCTTGCATGGGCAGTTGATTTTGCTCGAAAAGGAGGGTAATGCACTGTTCTGTCCAAATGGCACCATTCCCTTTCTGCATCTGAGCATCTAGAAGTGGTGAAACATTTATCCTCTGAACATATAAGGAATGGTAACAAGCTGGTGAGAGGAGTGGAATGACAGATGCCTTAGCAAGAAAACATACATTTGCTGAAGGGTGGGTTGTGTTGTTTTGTGTACATTTGTGTAAATGAAACAATATCTTGATAAAATGTAGATTGTGTTGGTTACACAGAAAATGCGTATTTCTGAGGATCTGTGTGTGAAAAATGGAGGAAAAGGTCAGGATTTCAGTCTGCTGTAAGCATGGCAGAAATGCCTGTGTTCAGGAGAGGGAAAGAGAGGGGCTCATTTCACGCAAGGATGTGGTAAATTGCACAGCTTGGGCTGAGCACAGAGACTGAGATGCCAAATAAAAAAGATGAATGCTGAGGAGGGGCTGGATGGGGGTCTAAATTGTGACACTTCTGAGGTTTGCACAAACAAACAAAACTTGCCATAAATATTTCATGATAATCCACTAGGAGGAGGGAGCCATCATCTTGTTGGCTGGGAAAATGTAGGAAGATAACTCACATTGCATAGCTAATTAAAGGTATTCGTGGACCAGGAATAGCTGTAGATTTTTCACTCATTTTTCACATAGCTCAGTGTTAAGAGTTTTTCCTCTGTATTTTCCTGTGACTTTTTTATTATTCCTTCAGTGATGTTTCAGATTTACTCTGGGTATAGTCTGTAATTTAGGTCATTGCAGTGTAACTGTGTGCACTGTACACTTGCAATCATGCCTGCAGACACTTTGGTATTAGACTGTCCTGCTAAAGAGCATAGCTGTGAGATGTAAGGCATATGGAACTGACTCTGTAATCATCAAATATATTCAATGTGTCATCTCTATGGAGTGTGTTGCAGACTTAATTTTTTGTTATTTCATGGTTATATTGAAGCTGGTTAGACTTCTTCCTCCAAACAAGTATCTGCTTTAATTTATAAGGGGGAAAAAGAAAAAAGGGAAGAGGGAGAAATGCATAGCAGAGATTTTATTTCCCCTTTTTATAGTAATATATATTAAGAAAAAAAAAGAGAGAGAAAAGAAAAGCAGAGATCGCTCTTAAAATTAGCAATTTAATATTCCACTGCCCATCTGATTTATTGCTCACCCTTCCACGTGTGAGACTCTCTGTCATTGAGACACTTGCCATATTTTTTTTTTTCAATTTATAGCTGTCCTTATTATATAAACTTCTAAAATTCAATCTAAGGGTGAATAATCTAGCTCATCTACCTGGTTTAAACTTATAAGGACACTTCCTTTATTAGGAGGTCTTGCTTTCATTAATTTCATAATGGATGAGGGAAGAGAGAAACTTTCTGTAGCTCCTAATAGGTTTCAGGCACCATGAATTCTCTCTCCTGACAATAAATGCAACACTTAATAAAAATGCAGCAAGTTTTGCTCAGATTCAGGCTGAATTACCCACGTTCCCTAGATAGAGATTGATTTTCCATCTTGGGGTTGTTTTTCTCCGATGTGTTCTCAGGCAAATTATCCATAGCTTCAGCACATCAAGGTGGGGGCATGGAGCTGGTCATCTTGGTGCCATCCACCTTTGGCTCTCTGTGAAGAGGAGAGAAATGGACACCTCCAGAAATATTTTCCTGTCTTGTGAGGTGTCCCTCTCAAGTGGAGGTGAGAGTATGTCCAGATATGTCCAGCTGTTATTCCCTCGTGGCTCTGGAGGAGCTAGCTTTAAAGGATGTGAAGGAATGATAAGGAACTGACTTTCAGATAGTTACGCTTAGTTGGGATGAGTTCTACTGTAATGTTGAGCATAAGAGGCAGAATGCAGCTCGGTTTCAAACACACTCTTCTCCCAGAACCCAGTTTTCTTCTTATATCTGTATCTCCCTTCCTCTTGACTCTATTGACTCTTCTTGTACTCATTTTCATTTCCTCTTTGTTTCTTCCTTAGACAAATTCTTATGTTCTCAATTCAGTGGGGGTAGGCATCAAGCAGACAAAGAAAGCAAGCTTACCCCAAAGAGCTTGTGTTAAGTGGTACATGCTCCACTTAGAAATTGTAGTTCTGTAAGGGAAATTAACTGTTCTAAAAAAGCAAAGTGTTTAATGAGCTCTTTTTGTTGTAATTTCCCATCGTCCCCCCCCTTTATACATGCACATCAAGTTTTACCTGTCATGGTGTTTTTAGTAGTAAGAGTCAGACTGTAAATACCCTTCACTGAGACTGTCAGTCACATCACAATAAAACCTTCTCATCAAAATGTCTAAACTCTCTGCTTACCATTTTATGAAGGCTTTCAAACAACTCGTCTTAACTGCTGTATAAAGATTCAAAGCGTTATAGCTGAAGCCTCAGAGTGCAGGCAGCCATTTAGCTGTACCATCTACATGGGAAATACTCCCAAATGAGCACAGAGCAGGCAGGGAGTAGTTGGCTGTCTTAGGGCAAAGGGGTGGGAAGACCATCAGCCTACCCAGAGGGATGCTCAGCATGACCTCTAGTTGCAGATGAAAGCTGGGCTGGACCAGAGCCCACCCAGGTCTTGGGGCCACAAGGATCCTGGGCCTCCTGCCAAAATGGGGAGCTGTGTTTGGGAGATCTGTGTTTCGTTTCTGGCTAGGAACACATTGACATTTACAGATTTTTCAGATCCTATGTCAAAAGAAGCGTGCCTGAAAGGCATCATCTGGAAGCCGTGGGCACGCCATCTCCAGCAGCTCACACAGAAGGTCTGGCCCTGTAGTAATGGCATCAAAAGTCTGGCAATAGAGCAGCTCAGAGCAGCTTTCCAGATGATTCTGATCCTCTAAGAAGTGACTTTTTTCAGTGGCAGTTGGTGCGGAAGAAAACTTTGTAACCATGCCTTTCCCATAAGTTTGCATCAGTATCCTTAGTTTGCACACTGGTGATGTTGACTTCAGCCTCTGCCATCAGCTTTTGGGATCCGATTTTCATACAGGAGAAGAAAGAGAGTGCACATACCCAACCTCTGACCATCCATGCCTGCAAAGCCTTCCCTCACTGCTTACCTTTGCTGAAAGACTCCTGCAGTCAAATGCCTGACTTAACTGCATTCAGTCCAAACCCACGTCCAAGGCTTAACACTGGGCATGGATTCTTATCAGGCACAGCTAACTGTGGCAACATTTGGAAATACATTAGTTTGTTAGGGTAATGTTTTGAGTCTTGCTTTTCTGTGATGTTTGGGGAGGCATTTAGAGCAGTGGATATGCATGCATATCTTTGGAGTAGTTGTGACATTGACTGTTCTGATTTTGTACAGCACTGCATACACTGAGATGTGTGGAGCTGGCATTAGGTGCCAGTCAAGGTTTGTCCCCTTTCTGTACTTATAAGATCATAGTATCATAAATGGTTTGAGTTGGTTGGTTGAAGATCATGTAGTTCCAGTACCTCTGTGATAGGCAGGGACACCTCCCTCTAGACCAGCTTGCTCACAGCCCCATCCGGCCTGGCCTTGAGTGCTTCCAGGGAGGGAAAGGTTGAAAAGATTTCACTATCATTTCATATAAAAGGAAATACCTGAGGTACACAGGGAATTCAGAATTAAGAGAAAATAAACAAATGATTAAGTGCGTGTTTTGATCACATCAAGAGATCCTTAGCTTGAAGGAGACTATTGAGCAGCAGTGAGACAGTTCGTCAGTGCGTTGTCTGTAATCGGGAGCACTTCTTTGTTGAGTTATCACACTGCTCCATGAATCCCACAGCAGTTCTGTGGGATGACAGTGTGCCTGTTGGATATTAGCAGGTCCCAGCCTACTGGCTTCGGTTTCACTGATTATTGGTTTAGTCACAGTTCTGCTGTGCTCCTTCGTTAGAGTTCTGATTGTGTTTTTTAGAATGAATTGTAGTTAATTAGCAAGCAGCTTGCAGCTCGTGGAGCTCGTGTAATATCAGCATTCCTTGTGTATAAAGATGTGCAAATAACCGAAGCCTTGATGACCTAGAACAGTGGTTTGAACCATCAGAAAAAAATACTTGATGTAGCCAAAATGTTTACATTTACAACTAAAATGAAAAATATATATATATCTTCAGGATCCATGTTAACCATTGACTCATCATTAAACTTTCCATGTGAAATGCACATAGGGCTTAAAAGCACAGAGCAGCAGCATGGCCAGGCGATCCCTCTGTTATCTGCTGGGCCAAGTGGAGGGCAGGAAATGTGTGCAAATCCCTCTGCTGTGAGAGGATCTGAATAGCTAATACCCAGCTCAAAGGTTAATTGCTAATTGCTGGTTAATCACTATATTTAGTATCCTACATACTCTTTTTAACTTGCTGAGATCTGTATCGGAGTGCAAGATAATTACTGTGGGTATTTTTTTTTTTTAATTTTTATTTTTTTTTTAGCACCGTGTTTGCTTCATTCTCTGGGATTTCAGAGCCATGCTTTAAGAGACTGCTTTTATCATCTCATCTGCAAACGTCTAGCAATATTAATCGGGTTTTTTCCTGCTGTAAGTCAGCGCTGGACTGTTCCTTTGGTAAAACCAGGCCAAGTAAAGGAGCTGACTATTCTGACTCTTTCAGATGTAGAACTGAAGCTAAAAAAATGTATGCTTCCCACTCTTAGATTTCCCTTTTAAACTCCAAACATTGCTTAGAAAAAGCTGTTTTTCAGAGTACTTGGCAGTCAGACAGGATACTGCAGTAGAGATGGATCATTTTTGGTTCAGGTTTATGAAAGCTGCAGTTCACTTATCTCTTAGTGCTTCTTTACTCCTGTGCTGTTGTTTTGGGTTTTTTTCCCCAGCTCTTGGATTATGTGTTTTTCTTTACTGAGTAGTGAAAAGTGTTACGAGGAATTTCATTACTGGCTGGAGCGCTTTAAAAATGCTTGCTGCTGCTTTAAGGAGCCAGATTTACATAGTTCATGTTTAGAAGATTTACAGTATGTCTCACATGCCTGTATGGGAAGATGGAGCTTTCATTACAGGTTTCGTGTCGCCCAGATACAAGGATTAATGCTCGCTCCTCCGCCTCGCTGTGCGCGGATGGCAGCACGCTGCTCTGCTGCCTGAGCTTGTGTTAAGGAGGCACATTTTGGGGTGACGAAGGAGAGAAAGTCCAGAGGAACCCACAGAAGGCAAGATTACAGGTTGGAGTGCCTTATCAGGCTCTTGGTTGTTTAATATCATCACAGGTTTGGGTTGGAAGGGACCCTAAAGGCTCCCTAGACCACTGCAGATGTGAGATGCAGCCCTATTTGCTAATGGTGTGCCTGCATTGGGCAGGATCTCACTGCAGCACAAGTGGGAATTTCCAGCAGTCCAAGCCTGCCTGCGTGCTGCCTCCTTGCTTCATTCCCAGAGCCAACAAAGACTGGGATGAAGTGCTGGGGGGGACATTCTGAGCTATTTCTAAGGCTTTTGGAGCATATTTTGAAATGGGTTTACAGGGTGGTGATTCCTACGAAGCTTCTCAGTTGCCTAATGTTTGATTTTTTGAGGATTGATTGTTAAGACTCTTTCTTAGGGAAGTTCTCTGTTGCTTCAATAAGTGTTGTCTGAGATTTGGCATTCTGAAGCCACTTAGGTCGTGATTTGCCTTAAATATGTCAGTGGGTAGAGACCTGTGCGAGTGCATGGGCACACAGACAGTTGGCTCACACATTCACACAGACATACAGAAAGAATTTAAATGCAACTTGATTTGTGTGAGTAATAAGAAACAACTGTGGCAAGAAAACCTGCATCATAAATGCTGTTACACTGATGTTAGTTCTCCTAGGCAAGAGGAAATCGTGCTTTTCCACAAATTTGCTGTTAGAGTTTTGATTCACAACTGTATTTTTTTTCCTCTGAGCATCATGAGCCCTTCCTTTCCCCAAACCATTGAGAAGTTCCATTAATGTCATCAGAACCAGACTTCATTGCGAATGCTAATTGCTGAATTAAGAAACATCTGAAGAAGTAAATAGTTGGGGAGCAAGCATTGACATTGTTGTATCCATCAGAAGATTTAGCATGGATAAATTGTGTTTTTCCCCCGTCTTGCAGCATGTGAGCTTGTTTTGACTGTGTGATTTCGTATCTGTATTCACTGCAAGATGGAAAGGGTTTTCATTTCAATAGTAGAGTCAATAATTACAGAGGTTATCATTTTCATGCTCAGAAATTCACGTCATTTTCATAAATCATTCATTTCATTTCATAAATCATGCTTTACAGCTGGAGAATGGAAACTTATTGCTGGACATTGATGAAAATCTTGGTTCAGTCACTCAGGTAAGGTTGTGACACTAAAAATGTTTTAAGGAGATATAGATGAAATCAGCTGTAGGAATAGTGCCATCTGAAAATGTTTTGCTTGGGATTAACTTTGCTGGAACTTAGCTAATATATCAGGTGTGAATAATTTAAGAAAGTCTAACGGGTGCATTTGGTTGTGTAGTGAGACTGAAATCACAAAAGTAAAAGGTGGTGGCCAGAATCCCACTGCCTGCAGATGGATAACACTGTGTTTGTGGGGACAGCTCTACAAAAAGCTCAGCAGTGACACAGGGAGAATAAAAAGCAGATTTAGGGGTGATGCTGAACAAGTCATTTGGAGAGATGGGGAGAAGGTGGCCTCTTTTGAGATATGGTGTCTTCTGGCCTCTGGAATCAGCAGCGCCTACGCAAGGCTTGGGGCAACTTCAGAGGAGTGCTGCCCTTGTCATCATTCCAATCTGTGGGCATTGTAACTAGTGTGTGTGCCCACACTCTGGGTTGTTTTTTTTTTGCAGGATTTCTGCCATACACTCTTGAATTGGTTTGCCTTGAAGAAAACATGGCTTTCTTCATTACTCCTTCTTCCATTTCCACGCAGATACTTAGTGTGATATATAGGCTCATATGAAGAAAATGCATTGTTACATCACTAAAGCAATGTGATCTATTTAATATATGGCATGATGTGAGGAAATATGAAATAATTCATCTCTAGGCATGTTTTTAGACATAAAGCTGAGAGTTATCCATGCTGCTATATAGATTCCAGCTGAAACTGATTGTAACATTGCTTTTGTGAGGGGGAACAGAGATTGGATTGCAAAAATGTACAAACCTTTGGAACTATTATATATTGAACGATAGTCTTATTTCTTAAAAGAGCATTTATAATAAAAGTGTGGGGTAAAAAGATCTTTGGGTGTTTTTTTCCCTTTGTTATGCTATAAAGCTGTGAAAACTGATCAGCTAGCATGGTGGTTAATATAAGGGCTCAGTGTTGGCTAGATTTGCAGGTCAAGACTCAAGTTAATATCAAGTGTATGTGAAAGGATGTTGCAGAGAGCTGAGATTTGATGAACCAAGTTAATATCGCCACTAAATCTCATTCAGACCAAAAATTCTGGATTCCCATATGTGTGGGTATGATTGAGTACAGTGCAGAGGAGAAGGAAAGCCCACAAGCAGAAGAAAGGTGGTGGAGAATTAGTCCTTGAGCTGCCACCATGGCATTCCTGTATATCCATCCTGCTAAGGACTGCAGATATGTTTAGGTTTCCCATGGAGCTCTGAGGTTTGGTGGCCCTGGACTCCAGCTGAGCTGATCTAGGGGGAAAGCACCCAGCCAGGGGGGACATCCCTAGATGTACGACTGCTTCTGCTGCCTTCCACCGAGGTCTCAACATGAGCACACACAGACCCTGTGGTTATTTCTGTCCTTATAGTTCAGCTGTGAGCAGCTTCTTTCCAATTGTAAAGACTGGCCACATTTTGTAACTCTGCCTGTATTGAAAACACCCATTACCTTAATCATCAATGTTCGTTGGAATAAGGGCCAGAGGTTGAGTGCTGGAATCAGGCTGTCCTGAAATTGACCCTTTGAAAGTGGAGCCTCTCTGACTGTTATATCATCCCTATAGGGGTCCTTCAGATTGCTGTTTTAACCTTAATTAATATCTTACTCTAATTTCCAGTTAAAATATGAGGACTTTCATGCCAGTCATTTGGCAGAGTGAAGTGTTGGGTAGAAGTGAGCAATTTTATTCCAGAGCATGTGACAGAGGTTTGATTATGCAGCCAGTCAAGGTGCTCCTTATTATGAAAGTGCTTTTTCCCCTCTGGTCCAGTTACATGAGACTTGTACGGGTGACCTATTTTGAGATCAAACTGAAGGATGCCCTTAGAAAACACTTCCAATGTGAGTTATATGTAGTTACAAACTTATAATGACCCAGTTGTGCATCCTCCTTCAAGTCCACTTATCCAGGTCACACCTGTCCCATGGGCAAGGGGAAATCAGGCAGCACTCTCAAAGTCCTTCCCTTCTGTATCCTTCTGTCACTTCCACAGTCTGCTGTCGTGTTTTAAGACCTTGATTTGGGGATTTAGGAAAGGAGCCAGGGAACAGAGCTGGCGGGTAAATTGTGCTTGGTTTTCAGCGATGTTAAGGGCAGAGCAATAATGCATCCAGTCCCATTCAGAGTAGTTTTTTCATGCTTCATTCGTTCTTTAGGGAGGAGAATTCCCCGTAGTATCATTTCTCAGCATCAGCTGCCTCTAGTTAGGTCCATGGCCAATATGAAAATCCAACAGCTCGAGTCCATGTGTTTCTTCTATATGGAACTGGACATTTGAAGCCTACGTGGCTCTTTTGGTTTTGTATTGATGGCTGTTACTAGTTAACTTTACAAGTTGTTGTGAATTAACTTGCTCTTTCTTCTCCTCGAAAGGTAAATGGAGATGTTATGTTTTTATCTTTGCAGGCTGTTACCCAACTAGAGCTTTTTGGGGACATGTCCACTCCTCCTGATGTAACCTCTCCCCCAGTAAGTATCCAGGGAAACTGGATGGGGTCTTTTTCTACATCCTATTTTCAGCATGTTTATGGAGCATGTTTACAGTTCAGGTGATTGGCCATTGCAGTAGGGAGGATTTCAAAGTAGTTTTTATGTTCCAAGAAGATAAAAGTGAAGCAAATTGAATGTGGAATCAATGGTTCTTGAAGAAGTGCAAAAATATCTTCAATTTTTATTTATCTGATATAGGGTTTGGTGTCACATAAGATATAATCTGAACTGCAGATCTCCTTCCCTGGTGTTTATCAGAGCTGCATGCTTCACTGCTCTCTGTCTTGAGCTCCCTGTCTCTCTCCTGTGCTGCAGCAAGACCCAGTTACAGCTGATATATCACAACTCCTTGATTCCACCAAGCACATAGCCCAGAACTGCTATTAAAGGAGGACTAAAGAGTACAGAGAGGGAGGGCTGAATGTGTTTTGAGAGGAATGAAAGCGTTCTCAACAGGCTTTTTTGCATCATAAGGTGAAAACATAGTCATTTTCCTATTGCATTTCTGAACCTTATGTTAAGCTGTAGGGGAGTATGAATATACTGAGAAAATGAAAGTCCTCTGGAGTCTCAGGCTCAGATCTCCAAGGTATTCTGGAGGATGTCTGGGACTAGGTACTCAAAGTCCTGTCTCATTGCCCTTAGCTTGCTCAATTAGACTGTGTTTCTCCTTTAATGTGGACCTATGGTTCTGGTCCTGTTGGTTGACTGGAAGCATTATTATATCTTGCAGATATTTCATTTACCTTTACTGTTTTTCTACACTAATGCCTAAGTCTGTAGCTTATACAGGCTGTCACCTAATGGCTAGAATCACAAGTCTGTATATTGATATCTGTGTGTGATATAGCCCAGACAAAGCTTGTTTTTATTTTCCTGTGGTACAAATTCTCTCTCATTTCTTTTTCTCCTGTCTCCAGCACATTCTAATACTCTTTATTTCTATTGGTTTTTTCCTTCTACATCTTTCCATTCTTTTTTTCTTTCGCTTTCTTTCCTCTAAAACTGTGAGCTTCAGAGGTGCAACAGCAAGTATATGCTGCAGCTGATATGTATCGTTTCATTCTGTTCCTGTCCCGTTGCAGACTCCTGCTACTCCAGGTGATGCCTTTATCCCATCTTCATCCCAGTCACTTCCTGCTAGTACAGACATGTTTGGTTCTGTACCTTTCAGCACTGCTGCCGTACCCTCAGGTAAGAAATCTCCCAAAAATATGGGTTTGGTTCAAATTTGGTCACCAGTTCTCAGCTCTGACTTGCATTTCAATCTTCAGGGCATTGATTTTGTCCACTGGAAGTGGGAAGGATTTTGAAGGCAGTGCTGCAGGGCAAGGCAAAACAATTCTTTTACAAGCCAAAAATACGTGATTGTGAATTTAGCAACATTATTAAAAGGAAAACCCAAAAATGTCACTGGAAGTTCAACAGCAGTTTAGCCATCTGTATAACATACCTTCTAAGTACAGCTGCAAGAGAGAGAAAAGCAGCTGATTTAGCCCTGGTTTCTTTGCAATTGCAATGAATATCTTGTGCTGTCTTTGGTAAACAGAGAATGAGACATGAAGGATTTGATTTCATTTCAAAAGTGCTCCACTTATGTAAACCCTGGTGTTTCCCATAGACTCTTCTGTGTTCCTCAAAGTGCTCAAAATTCAAAAGCCATGTAACATTCTGCACAGACATGCAAGGAATTGGGTTTTGACTGCTGATCTCTCCCTGGGATACTCAAAGCACTGCAAGACAGCACTCAACTCCATTTAGGAAGAAGAAGGAGTGCCTTCATTCAACAGTGACTTCTAATTGGTTAACTCCTTATCGGATGGGCTGTGTTGCAGTATCAGATTAGCCACCACATCTCAGAAAGGTTATGGAGATGGTGAAGTGTCTGGGGTAATATCAGGTCACTGCTTAGATGAGGTGACAGCGGGAGTGGGATAGAAGGACGCCTAGGGAATCTGTCGTGGCCATCCATACACATCTGAGTTACTGTTCCTTCTTTCATCACTCATTAACTTGGAATCACAAAGTTGGGGTTTTTTTGCCTTGCAAAGTCCACTTAAAATCAGCCACTGATTGAAACTTTACTTAGTTTTTGGTTGTGGCACATGACTGAGGTCCATGCAAATGTTCTTCACAGACACATGTGAGTAGTCACTAAGGAAGAGAAGAGCATTTTGTTCAGAAAAGGAGAAGGATTATGGCCAATATACTTCAACCTGTGTTTTTGTATAGAAGTGCTTGTAATGTGAATTCAAACATGCATTTCCATTTTCTTTGCAAGGAAAAGCTGAAGCTCTGGGATCTCTAATGTAGCTCGCATATTTCTGATTTATTGTGTGGCCTTTTCTGCATGCTCCTGACATTATTGGAATTCTTATTTTTCTGCTTTCTTTATTCTTTGAAGGTTATGTTGCCATGGGAGCTGTTTTGCCCTCATTCTGGGGACAGCAACCACTTGTTCAACAGCAGTTGGCCATGGGTGCTCAGCCTCCAGTTGCTCAGGTGATGCAGGGAGGACAGCCAATAGCGTGGGGCCAACCTGGTATTTTTCCTCCTACCCAGCAGCCCTGGCCATCTGTAGCTGGTCAGTTCCAACCAACTGCCTTCATGCCAACACAAACTGTTTTGCCTTTACAAGCAGCCATGTTTCAAGGTACCATTGCTCCTATAGCTACTGTTCCACCCACAAGCGATTCCAACAGATCAAGTCCGCAGACAGACAGGCCCAGACAGAAAATGGGAAAAGAAATGTTTAAAGATTTCCAGATGGCTCAGCCTCCACCAGTGCCATCAAGAAAACCAGATCAGCCTTCCCTCAGTTGTACCTCAGAGGCCTTCTCAAGTTACTTTAACAAAGTTGGGATGGCACAGGAAGCAGATGATTGTGATGACTTTGACATCTCTCAGTTAAATTTGACTCCTGTGACTTCCACGACACCATCAACAAACTCACGTGAGTGTTCGTATCATTTATGCCATAACTTTCCTCAAATGTGACTGCTCCTCGAAGCATTTAACTTTTCATATAGTAAATTGCAACACAGATGTAGACTGAGAACCTTCATGCATGGTCTGGCTTATTAAATACATTCCAGCCATAAAGAAAAGTGTTACAGAGACCATTGAAATCAACAGCCCCGGTAGCTGCAGCCTGAAATTTAATTGCTAATAAGACAGTAATATATGCTCTGTGCTAGGGACGTGCCAGCTGGTTGGAAAATGCGGGTAACATTCAACCTTATAAATGATTTTTCTTCATCCCGTTCAAGGCATACTTTGCACAAAGTAGGAGATGGGTATTTATTCTAATTGCTTGATGTGTTGGACATGTGGGGAAATTCATTGAGCAGCTGTAAAATGAGCTTAGCATGGCCATAGCATGGAGATGGGGGATTTTGCAGATTGCTGAAAAGGAATTCAGGAGGCATTTACCAGCGGCCAGTCAGAGACCTGTGTTTTGCTTATCTGCCGTAGGGCAGGCGACTCACGCATTCCTAATGTGATGTAGCAGTGTCTCCTTGGTTCCTAAAGACATGAGCCAGATGCAGCCAAACTTAATTTGGAAGCCACTGAATGAAATCAGACCTACAGAATCGATAATGACTTCTCTGTTTAAATTTACATCTTCCAGCTCTTTGCTGAAAATGGTTTTCGGGGGTAATGTAAAGTAATGTAAGTTGAGGGCTCTAGAGCATGAGCAAATTTTGTGCTGCTGTGTCTCTGTGAACAAATGAAGAGATAAATATTCTATTGCTGTCACCTTAATCTTTGTTTAGCTCCAACCCCTGCACCCAGACAGAGTTCTCCATCGAAATCATCAGCATCTCATACCAGCGATCCTGCTGCAGATGACCTCTTTGAAGAGGGGTTTGAAAGCCCAAGCAAAAGTGAGGAGCAGGAGGCTGTGAGTAGCAATAAGGCTTCTAAATACTGATGAGCCCTTTTTAGCTTAAAAAATGCTGTTTGGTAGTCTCAGAGATCACTGTTCAAGTAGGACTGGGTGGTATTTAAGGGGGAGCTGCATTTGCAGATTTGATTTTATAGCTGGGAACATCAGCATGGCATTTCTGTTGATGTGTCCTAATACTGCATGCAAGGAACCAAACTCAGAGTTCATATCTGAAGTTTATACACGTTAACTGTATCCAATGTACCAACATGCACATACTGATGGTAAGGGAGTCCAAGGTAAAATGACACGAGTGCTGAGGATGCAGAAAGAAATGCGAGAGGCTGTGTGTTAAAAAATGATGGTTGATGTTGTCTTCCACATTCTGGCATCCCAGTTGCTTCCCTCGTTGCATTCCTCAATGTTCTGGCCCTTGGTATTTCTTTGCCTTAGACTCAGTGGACCAAAGCAAGAAATATTATCAAAATGAAGCGACGTTGAATCACAAGGTATCTTAGGCAGATAAGAGCCTAAGTGAGCCAAAGGCAAGAAGGAGTCTATACAAAAAAAGGACCCAAATGTACAAAATGATAGATATGGTCCTTTCCTGCCTTCATCAGCTGTAGAAAAGCATTATGGCTTTTGAGAACATATCAGTGGTGAGGTCTCACTTTCTGGTTTTCATGAGATAGGATGTACTTGTTATGCCCACAGCATGAAAATAACCTCATGTTGACTTTTCACTTTCTATTGTTGAGAAAAAAAGGTGTTATGTTCTTGTATTCTAGCCTGATGAGTCTCAGGCCTCATCCAACAGTGATCCATTTGGTGAGCCAACTGGCGATACTATAAGTCCACAGGTCGGTAGCTAGATAGCGCAGGTTGGGGTAGGTATCTGTCCTTTTTTTCTCTACACCCTGAGGTGCTCACTTATGCTTCCACCAGTGCCTACCATTGCTTTCATGGATGCATGGTTTGCTTTTTCCTTTTCATCTCTTCCTTCTTTTCCTCTCCATTATCCACAGCGTATTCCTCATGCTCGGTGGTTTGCATGGCTTTTGCCATTCACTATGTGTTGCAACTTATGCGAATGTGTGTGTTTCAGCTGCCTGCATGCTTTAAAGAAATGTAGACTTATTTTACTTTGTGTTCGAATTCAAAGGGGGGATAGGGAATCTGAGCCACTACCAATAATGTATTATGCAGAACAGTTTTTTATCAAACCCGTTCTGGCCTTTAGTCAGTCGTAACGTATCAAATGGGATAAGACATCTCTCCCATAGACATAAAAAACATTAAATAAAATTATGTAATGATACAGGAATACCTCCACTCAAAATCAGTGTGATAATCAGTAGAAGCAGCACATGTATTATCTGCATGTAAAAATTATTGAAATGGGTTTGTGTACTTTTATCTCCAGTTGCAAATTAAAAGCATCTGAAAGTTATGATCGCTGATATTAGCATTGGCCAACCGATGTTTTCAAAATTATTCTTCAAAAATTATTCACTGACACCTAGACAGAGGGAAAAGATGATCTTTTTCATCTTCTGTGTTACAGAACACATTGGAAAATGTGGCTGCTGGTGGATGTTCTGTGATTTGTTTCAATACAATATATATGTTCTACCAAAGAGACAGTAAAACTGCAAAGTGTTATGAGTGCTGAGCATTGTTATTCCATCCAAATACTCTCCAGTGTTACTATTTGAAGGATATGTTTCATTATCTTCTCCCTGTCTGCCATTCGTGTTTTGTATTACCCAAATATGTGACCTGATACTGCTTCTGTGCTTCAGCACAGAGCTCCTGGAACAAATCCACAACAGTGGTAGAACCCTTTTTATTTTTCTACAGAAATCACTCTGTGTTTACCAGTGACTTATCTGCCCTGAGCCTGCATAATCGGTTTCAACTCAAACTTAATAGTTTCATTAGGAGTCACTTTGTACACTTAAATGTGGTTAAGAAAAAATGTCTTACAGTAACTTAGCTTTGATCCACTTGGGAGTAATAAGATTATCTCTTAATAATATGTAGTGCTGAGAGGAGGCATCTCCCCCTTCTTCTGCTTCACCAACACAAAGCTCAGCAACTGGGGGCTGAAGCAAAAGCAGTGTTAAGCCTTGTGCTTCCACGAGTCTAAAAATGACAGTGTAAAGATAGAGTCAAGCTGGGCTGGCTGCTTAGCAAGAACATCCGTTGGTTATTGTACACCAACATGAGCTGCTTGTGCAGATTGATGGTGCCACATAGCACCATTTGCCTTTGTCTGACTCCACCAGCCCTGGTGCAGCCAGCTGTCCCAGCCTCAGCCCATTTCAGGGCTTCTTTCTTAGATCAAGAAAGAGGATTTGACTTTTAGCTGAATCCCACACTCCACAGACCTACGTGCTTTTGTTTATTATGGTTCATCATCGTCAGAATCACTCAGGAATTCATCACAAGGAAAATAGTGATAAAATCTCTTTCTAATTTTCTGCTGCTAAGATAATTAGCATCATTTGTGAGCTAACCACACTCATTTACCTATCAGCAATTCTGGAAGTAGCTGGAAGCAGTAGCTGAAGGCTGTCACTGCATAGTGCTGTGTAAGGCAGTCAAATGAAGGACCCCTTTTGTTCTCTATGTATATAACACTGAAATACTTTATCTTACCTGGAAAGTAAAAGTTTGTATGTTGTCATTCCGTATTTTTTCTATAGTTGCTGTTAGTCCTTGTACAATCTGGCATAAAATTAGATATAATTATCCAAAATATATTCCAGGAATTGTTAGATAATGCTAGTAATCATCGTATTACAGTAACTCCTAAAAGCTGTAGATAGGAATAGGAAGCTGAAGAAGACTGGATCTCTCCAGTGAAGTTACACTGGCATCATTGTACCTCAGTACTGTGCCATCCAGCAGCAGGCTGTAGGAAATCCACTTGCTGAAACCAACCCATCTAGTTCTGAAGCCTGCTATCATCACAGTGATGGAAAATCTAATCTCCATGGAGAATTATCAGCTCAGGACTTACTACTGCATTGTGTACTGAGCCCCTGATTTGGGGAGAAACATAATGGAGAGAAATATGTAGTACAAAAGAATCACAGTCTGCCTAAAAGCCACTTCTGCGTGCTAGATGGAGCTTACTTCCCTCTGTCAGAACATGGTTCTTCACACCAAGAACAGCACAGCATACAGCTCAGATGAATGGACTCTCAGCAGCAAGACATAGCACTGTGTTCAGAAATTTCAAATAGACTTCCTGGGGTTTCTGTGAAATCAGCTGTGCCCATGCAGTATCTTCACTTACTTCGTCTTGATGTATTCAGAGTACTTGCATGCCTAGTACTTTGTGCCCTGTGCTTTCAGTATACCTTAGCAATTTGGTTTCTTGGTTCCTTCTGATGCCCCATGATCTCATTTAGATGCAGTTCAGCATCTTCCAATAACTATCTTCGTTTCTCTGTATTTCACCTCTTCCTTTTGTGATCTTAACACTCTCAAAATCCTCATCCTACCAGTAGGCATTCTTACAGACAGCTCTGCTACAAATGGCCAAGGGTTCTTTGTAGGTAAATGTGACATTTTATGGATCAGTTACGTATTTGTCCCTTTATGTTTGGAGATAAGGAGCAGCCAGGCCTGATTTTCAGTACATCAACTATTTGCAAAACTGTTCATGGTAAGATTTGTATCTAGTTGTCTTCCCTTTGTACAGGAGTAGTGTGGAGGATGAATAGAGTGAACAGTAAATAGTGAGACTGCCATCTTCAGCTGATGTACACTTAACCCCTGCTGCTGTCTTTAGACTGGGTAGTGGATAACTGTGGTTAAAAGAGAGTGGAAAGTTGTCAGTATGCCCTGAATACTGGGATCTGTTGTCAGAAATGCTGCCTCACTCCTTATGGACAAACTGATTCCTGAAGGCAAATTAGCAGCAGAGTGAAAGTTCTAAAAGGGAATAAAGGGATATTTGGTAATGAAATTAACCCAATAAAAGTACCTCCAAATGCTGGAATAAATGTAGTTTATGCTATATGCTTCCCAGTCCAACACTTGCTCTGGCAGTCATTCACGAGAGATTCTCAGGAAACCTTCAAAACATTTGTGGCTAGAACGTATCTTCCTCAAAAGCTTGTTTGGTTGTTCTTTGAAATGTGTGCAGACAGTTGTAAGCCCTCAAAGTATGTCACACCCTTCATGATGCTATCAGCACTGTCAGGAGAGCAACAGTGCATTTGAATATTTGTCTATCAGCTTTTGGTGGGACTTGGGTGGCCCGCTGCCATCTCCCATCTCGGACCATGTGTCGTTCTTTGTGATGAATGTTCCTAATAATTTCAGTCAGCTCCAGAATAGACTGCTAAAAGTCTTTATCTAGGCTGTGACCATGCAGTTGGCAGAGATGTAACAACTCAAGGACAAAATACTGGCTTCATCTGAGAATTCAGACAACCTCAGGAGGTCGTACAAAACTGCTTCTGCAACCTGCTACTACTTTCTGCCCCCTTTCTGTTGCACTAGGAATCTGGGTGTGCTCAGACATCACAGGCTGTATTTGTAGGATCTGTTGCCATCATTCATCTGTCTCAGTAGGAACTGAATGGAATTCAGAGAGAAATTAATGATGACTTTAAGTGACCTATTCTCGCCGTAGGATCTAGAGCTGTTATTCTGCAAGAAGACACAGCAGCAAGCAGAATTAGGAACCTTAGAAATAAGTTAATAGGTTGTGCACTTGGAATGGATCACAGTTTCTGAAACTATCATTTCAGGCCCCGTTTTTGTGCTTGTTTATTCATCATCACATCCCCAGGGAACATGGATATTATCAGAAACAGAGAAATCCAGACTAAGGAGCAAAGGCGTCCTACAAACGTGCCTTCCTCTCACTCCTATGATTTTCTCACTTGCTCCCTCCTCCTGTCTATTTTAGTATAGGCCAGTTCTTGCACTGGTTTCTCAGCTCTTCCAGTGTCTCCAAGCCCACCTGAAGTAGCCTAGTACCTTCCATTTCTCCACTTTCTTCCTCTGAACAAGAGACAACATACTAGGTGGCCTGAGTGCTTGTTTATTGACAGTACAGCAATTCAGTTAGGGAACAAGTTCTATGAGCTTTCTGTGTAATGAGGTCATTAAAAGATCCCCATCTTCTGCACAGCAACTGGTGTTCAGGACACTTGTGGTAATTTAGTGTCTTTGAGACTTCACTATGATTTGCTTCAGATTGGCTATTGGATTCAGAAATCATTAAGGAGAATTGACAGAAAAATAGATGGAAAGTGTAATTCAATGGCTCTTGTTTTCTTAGGAAGGGATCCCCAGAATGATAGGAGTGTTTCTATACTACAGTTCATTATTTTTCCATAACCAGAATTTAGCAGAGTTCATCTCTTGTTAGTAGTTCTCAACTGTTGTTTTGTCATTTATTTTTTTTCTTTCCAGTTTGTGAATGCATGGCATCCTTCTTGATGCTAGAATTACAGACTTTTAAACTACTCTATACTTGAGACTAAGAGATATTCCTGGGCAGGTTTGTAGTAAGAACACAGACACCTTTCAGCCACAATCCCTAACTGGCAGGTTGCTATATTTCTGTGGCAAATAGAGGCTAATTATATTAAAAATAGGCAGAATTGAGCCATGGGCTGTTAATGGGTGAGTAGGAGTTACTGGTCTTACCACCAAAAGATATTTAAATATTGCTTGCCGAATGTACTATGTCCTACTTCATTAAATCAGCATGCAATTGAGAAGATGTATTGCACTCCTGCTTCCCTTCACTTGCATCCCCAGCACAAGATTCTCGTTTTGGCTGGCGTTCCAGCACTCTTATTTCATGAAACTGAATCATTTGAGCCTGCCCTTTCTGATCAGTCAGCCAGGAGTAAAACCAGTGCTGAGAATCTATTGCAAAGGGCAAAGAAATCTCTGCAGGCCTCACCTCTACAATTCAGTACAACTTGCCTGGAGCTTTGCACATAGCAGGGTGCCTTGCAATGATGAAAGGACTACCCGTGTAAAAAGAACAGCTTCCTAACCAAGTCCTGTGTTACATTTTGTGAGCCAGCTCACCGACACAAGCCCAAATAGATATTGAATCTGTTGGAGATTTCTCCCATGTCTGCTGAGGGCCAGATGTTAATACCTTTAGATTGGATGCAACTTCACTTGTAGTGGGTACATAATGTTATTCAAAACCGCCAGGAACCTCGTTGTCTCATGCAGTAGTGTAGGCACAAATCCCTACTGCTTACCACAGTGTTGTTTGTTGTGCAAAATGTTCCTTAAAATTGGAACAACTAACAGATTTTAAACATGATGTGTCTCTGGAGTATGTAAATGTATCGTACGAAAGGAAAAGTCTCTCCTCAACAGTTTCTGCAGTGAGATTCAAGAGAGTTCTTAACTCAGCATTGCACAACATACTTGTAGATACCTAGATATTTGGGTGTTTTAACTTGAGGCAATGTACACTTGGACTTCCCCTGTCCAACACGCCACTTCAGTCAGGTATCTGATCTGCGATTTCATATCCTGATTCTTCAGTATCTCCTAATTTGAATGCTACTCTTCAGAACAGGAGCCATGTCAGTATGTGAGGATGTAGGTGAATGCTACTCTAAACGGAGCCTCCAAACACAAAGGAAAACATTTGCTTTTTAAGCATCTACCAGAAACTGCATAACCCGAAGTTGCTGGAACCCTTCAAGTGTAATTTAACAGCAAAACCAGATGCTGCCATTTGTCTTCTTATTTCATCCCTGCAGGCTGATGAATGCACATCAGGAGTGCTTTGGGGCCAATCATACAGAATTGAAAACACTCAATTGGAAGCCTTGTATGCCATCTTATCTAATCTTTCTTTTTTCTTTTTTCTTTTTTTTTTTCTCTGTAAAAGACCCATTTTTTTGGTTTGCTGGTTTGCTTCCCTTTGGATCTGTTCCTAACGCAGTAATAGAAGTAAAAAGCAGAAGATATCAGTGAAACATCTCTGCTAACACTTTAGTTCTCCTGCCTTTTAGTTACATTTCCTATGGCTTTTCTATGGAGGGCATAAAAAGAAGGCGAGTTGGTATTTCTGCTTCTAAAACCTTCCCAAACAATCCTTGTGAAAGCCCTCCTACCTGTCACTGGAGGAAGCTGTTTGGGGAGTCAACAGGTCTCAACTCTCCTGTTTCTCCTTTAGCTTTTACTGCTCTTTTTGCTCTATGGAGGATCACTATCAGTTCTTCACAGATGCCATTTGCAGTGTTGAGCTGCAGTCAAGATGCACTGATGAATTATCTCAGAATAATATTAGAAAACAAGTTTCATACACTGAGAAGAAAAATCAGGCATCTAAATGGGAAAATGACCTAAAAAAATACAAAAGAGCATGATTTTCACTCAAAATACACAAAAAATAATAGTAAAAAAGTTACATCATTGTGAGAATCATTGAGAATCATTGAGAAATGAAAGCTGTTTGCCACTTGAAGTGTATGTTCAGATGAACATTGGGCATGAACAAAAGGTGGGGGCATGTAATTCGAGTCTCCATCATGGACTGTTGAAAGTGACAGTAGCCAACAATGAACTCCTCTTGCAATGATGCCAGGTGGCCCTTGGGTGACCAGTTCTTTCCATGTATCTGTGTACCTTACAGACATTAGAGGACACTTCTAGCAAACACATCTGATGTTTTGAAAGGCCTTTATTTTCCCTAACAACTCAAAAAAACAACATCCTTTGTTCCCCTTTTCTTCTCTTTCCTTGTTGCTTTCCTTTGCAGTCTTCCCAGGTTGAGCACATGCCTGAAGAGTGGCCTGGTGTATGTCAGCTTTCCACATTAATTAGTACAGATTTTCTCAGAACTGGCAGTGATAGATCATTCTGCCAGCTTCGTGTCTGCAGTACATGAAAATTGGCATAGGTGGGTTCAGCACACAGGATGTGAGATGCAGTTATTTACTCTCACTCATCTCTTCTGATTACCTTTGGATTTTCAAGGTCATCGGATGTATTTGCCTCTTGCTGTGGATAATTTCAGCAGCCTTTATTTAATCATTCAGAGAGATTTTGCTCATTCTCTCTTAATGTTCATAGTGTGCTCAGGGCTTCTTGTAGGTAAGAAATAGGGAAGAAGTGTCTCTGCAGGCTGCAGAAATGGAGCATCTTCAACAGCAGCGATTACCAATCAGTGCCACCTCCTGCCAGATGTTTCTGTGTTCTGCAGTGCCCAGTGCTTTGCCAGCCTTCAAAGGGTTTTGCCTAAAGTCAGCTTTTCTGGTACTGCTGTACATGAGTTGATTTGAACTTGGTTAAATTCAACTCTGTGGTATGGTATTTGAATATTTATCAAGCTATGGAGAGTTAATGCAGTATGGCATTAATTAGCCTTTTTGCCTATCTTGTTCTTTTCTTAGATGTCATTCTTAGTTTAATAAATTAGCTTCTGGAAATGAAGGAGAGTGAATTGCAGGCTCCGTTTGGCTGGTTTGCCTCACTCTGCAGCCAGGATGAACCTAGTATTTCGAAAGCACCAGGTGTCAGCTATGAAGTAGCACTGAAAATACAGCGGCTTTCCTCAACATCTAGGAAATTCCTAAGAAAAACCACCATTCTTTCCTCCCTGCTTTAACAGCTGTACTAACAGCTACGCAGATCCCTAATCAAGCTGTTCAGAGCCAGCTTTTCTCGTTCTTCATAGGAGGCACACACCACATACACCACATCGCTCTGAAAATCCTATTTTCAATCCCGTCGCAGCTTCGTTAGCTCAGCTTTCAGCAGTAGTTTCTGCTTGCAGTTGTCTTCCTATCTGAGCTGTGTGAAATCCATGGCTGAGTACCGTTGCTGTGCTGTTGGGTGGGATGCTCAGCCCGACGTAACAGCCTTTTGTGCCAGCTGCATTTCTGGCCCGTAAACTTCAAAACACCCAGTTGTACAAAAATCATTTCATTTCTCCATGTGTCTATGCCCAGCAATACCTCCTGAGGATCGGTGCACAGCCAATATGGAAGAGGAAATTGATTGTAAGCATGCCTCTCCCGAAACAATGTCATATTTCCTTCACAACCCAACCGGGGTGCCGCGATCGCTCAAAGCAGCACAGAAAACAAACGCTTCCTTTGGGTTTTGACTCACGAGGTATTGCTGTCCTCAAGCAGATGTTGTGAAAATGTTCTCAAAATGTCTGGAGACATTTCCGCTTATTTTATTTTTATCATCCCCAGGAAGCAGAACCTCTCTACGCCCAGATCAACAGACCTAAGAAATAGCATTGGTACGGGCTTGCGGTGCTCCGAGACTCGAATGAAACCCAACCACCTGGCAGGCCTTTGGCTCTCTTGCTTTTTTCCGATTGATTTTGTCTGGCAAGGATAGATGATTGCCCTCCTGGACCGGCTCTATGAGCGTTCCTGACAATTTTTGGCAACCGATGGCAGATCCCTATGGCAGCACAAAGTGACAGCTCCCTGCTTAGCGCACCAGGAGTCCGGCCCTGTCTCCACAACTCATGGGTATCCAGACTAGGAAATCTCACTACTCGCTCTTCTTTTCAACATTTCTTGTCTTGTGTATGCCACATATAAATAATGAGCATTCCTTTTCTTTTGAGCAAAAAAAAGCAGAATCTGTATGTAGCAGTGGCATTATCATTCAACAGCCTTTTGGGCACAAGTCGGCACTTTTTATGTCATGGTGACATGTTTTTCATCATCATTTACATCAGGCTGATCCTGAGTTGTTTTGTTTTTCCTTGTGTAGGCATATTTAAACAGCAACAACAGAAAAACACTGGCAGTGTCATTTTTTTTCTATTTCTTATTCTGTAGTTTTGTATGAGTGACAGATCCAAGAGCAAAACGCCTCCCGCGGAAATGATTCTTAACTTGAAACCACAGAATAAAACTCTGTTGTTTATCCATCCGGACTGAAAATGTTGCCAAATGTACCTTTACGTTCTAGCGCATCATGAGGAAGAAATGCTGCTTTTCTGTTTGAATACTCATGTTGTGGGTAGAGAAAGGACATGGAATCCCACTGATGGAAGAGACGGAAGATTCAGTATTTCCTAGGAAACTCTAAACAAAGTACAGAAAAGGAATATTTTTATTTCTTCGATATCTTGCTGCTGTAATGCTATGCAGACAAGTGTTTTCTTCTCTGTGTGCCATTTTTGATGAAAAAAAAAAAAAATCATTTGCCAAATAATACTGGTATGATTCTGGTTTAGGAAGTTGGATGAAACGGACTTTAAAAA